CACCAACATCAACAACATCTGATGCAGCAACCACAAGTATGCCTGACACCACGACAACTATTGATGCAACAACAACTTTGACTTCCACAACCAGCCCTCCAACATCCTCAGCAACAGTACCAACATCGATGACTAATAAACCAACAACAACTATGCCTGACACAACAGAAACTAGTGAAGCAACAACAACTTTGGAATCCACAATCACCCCTCTAACATCAACAACTGATGCATCAACCACAACTGTTTCTGACACCAGAACAACTACTGATGCAACAACAACTTTTCCAGCCACAACCACCCATCCAACATCCTCAGCTTCAGTACCAACATCGACGACTAATAAACCAACAACAACTACGCCTGAAACCACAAAAACTAGTGATGCAATAACAACATTTGATTCCACAACCACCCCTCTAACATCAACAACTGATGCATCAACCAGAACTGTGCCTGACACCACAACAACTACTGATGCAACAACAATTTTGGCTGCCACAACCACCTTTCCAACATCATCAACTGTGGCACCAACATCAACAACATCTGAAGCAGCAACCACAAGTATGTCTGACACCACAACAACTATTGATGCAACAACAACTTTGACTTCCACAACCACCCCTCCAACATCCTCAGCTACAGTACCAACATCGACGACTAATGAACCAACAACAACTATGCCTGACACCACAAAAACTACTGATGCAACAACAACTTTGACTTCCACAACCACCCCTCCAACATCCTCAGCTACAGTACCAACATCGACGACTAATGAACCAACAACAACTATGCCTGACACCACAAAAACTACTGATGCAACAACAACTTTGACTTCCACAACCACCCCTCAAACATCCTCAACAATAGCACCAGCATCAACAACTGATGCATCAAACACAACTGTGCCTGATACCACAACAACTACTGACTCAACAACGACTTTGGTTTTCACAACTACTGCACCAACATCCTCAACTAAAGCACCAGTTTTAACAACTGATGCAGCATCCACAACTCTGTCTGACACCACAACAACAATTGATGAAACAACAACTTTGACTTCCACAACCATGCCTCCAATATCCTCAACTATAGTACCAACATCGACGACTAATAAACCAACAACAACTATGCCTGACATCATAGAAACTAGTGAAGCAACAACAACTTTGGATTCCACAACCACCCCTCTAACATCAACAACTGATGCATCAACCACAACTGTTCCTGACACCACAAAAACTATTGATGCAGCAATAACTTTGGATTCCACAGCCACCACTCTAACATCAACAACTGATGCAAAAACCACATCTCTGTCTGACACCACAACTACTGATGCAACAACAATTTTGGCTTCCACAACCAGCCCTCAAACATCCTCAACAATAGCACCAACATCAACAACTGATGCATCAACCACAACTGTGCATGATACCACAAGAACTACTGACTCAATAATAACTTTGACTTTCACAACTACTGCACCAACATCCTTAACTATAGCACCAGCGTCAACAACTGATGCAGCATCCACAACTCTGTCTGACAGCACAACAACAATTGATGAAACAACAACTTTGACTTCCACAACCACGCATCCAACACCCTCAACTCTAGCACCTGTCTCAACAATATCAGATGCAGCAACCACAAGTATGCCTGACAGCACCACAACTATTGATGCAACAACAACTTTGACTTCCACAACCACCCCTCCAACAACTTCAGCTACAGTACCAACATCAACAACTAATCGACCAAAAACAACTATGCCTGACACCTCAGAAACTACTGATGCAACAACAACTTTGGATTCCAAAACCACGTCTCTAACATCAACAACTGATGCATCAACCACAACTCAGTCTGACACTACAATAACTACTGCTGCAACAACAACTTTGGGTTCCACAACCACCCCTCAAACATCCGCAACAATAGCACCAGCATCAACAACTGATACAACTTCCACAACTCTGTCTGACAGCACAACAACTACTGATGCAACAACAACTTTGGCATCCACAACCTCCACTACAACATCCTCAGCTACAGTACCAACATTGACGACTAATGAATCAACAACAACTGTGCCTGACACCACAACAACTACTGACTCAACAACAACTTTGGCTTTCACAACCACTGCTCCAACATCCTCAACTATTGTACCAACATCGACGACTAATAAACCAACAACAACTATGCCTGATACCACAAAAACTACTGATGCAACAACAAATTTCGCTTCCACAGCCACCCCTCAAACATCTTCAAAAATAGCACAAGCATCAACAACTGATGCATCAACCACAACTCAGTCTGACACCACAACAACTACTGATGCAACAACAACTTTGGCATCCACAACCTCCCCTACAACATCCTCAACTATAGCACCAGTGTCAACAACATCAGATGCAGCAACCACAAGTATGCCTGACACCACAACAACTATTGATGCAACAACAACTTTGGCATCCACAACCTCCCCTACAACATCCTCAACTATAGCACCAGTGTCAACAACATCAGATGCAGCAACCACAAGTATGCCTGACACCACAACAACTATTGATGCAACAACAACTTTGGCATCCACAACCTCCCCTACAACATCCTCAACTATAGCACCAGTGTCAACAACATCAGATGCAGCAACCACAAGTATGCCTGACACCACAACAACTATTGATGCAACAACAACTTTGGCATCCACAACCTCCCCTACAACATCCTCAACTATAGCACCAGTGTCAACAACATCAGATGCAGCAACCACAAGTATGCCTGACACCACAACAACTATTGATGCAACAACAACTTTGGCATCCACAACCTCCCCTACAACATCCTCAACTATAGCACCAGTGTCAACAACATCAGATGCAGCAACCACAAGTATGCCTGACACCACAACAACTATTGATGCAACAACAACTTTGGCATCCACAACCTCCCCTACAACATCCTCAACTATAGCACCAGTGTCAACAACATCAGATGCAGCAACCACAAGTATGCCTGACACCACAACAACTATTGATGCAACAACAACTTTGGCATCCACAACCTCCCCTACAACATCCTCAACTATAGCACCAGTGTCAACAACATCAGATGCAGCAACCACAAGTATGCCTGACACCACAACAACTATTGATGCAACAACAACTTTGGCATCCACAACCTCCCCTACAACATCCTCAACTATAGCACCAGTGTCAACAACATCAGATGCAGCAACCACAAGTATGCCTGACACCACAACAACTATTGATGCAACAACAACTTTGGCATCCACAACCTCCCCTACAACATCCTCAACTATAGCACCAGTGTCAACAACATCAGATGCAGCAACCACAAGTATGCCTGACACCACAACAACTATTGATGCAACAACAACTTTGGCATCCACAACCTCCCCTACAACATCCTCAACTATAGCACCAGTGTCAACAACATCAGATGCAGCAACCACAAGTATGCCTGACACCACAACAACTATTGATGCAACAACAACTTTGGCATCCACAACCTCCCCTACAACATCCTCAACTATAGCACCAGTGTCAACAACATCAGATGCAGCAACCACAAGTATGCCTGACACCACAACAACTATTGATGCAACAACAACTTTGGCATCCACAACCTCCCCTACAACATCCTCAACTATAGCACCAGTGTCAACAACATCAGATGCAGCAACCACAAGTATGCCTGACACCACAACAACTATTGATGCAACAACAACTTTGGCATCCACAACCTCCCCTACAACATCCTCAACTATAGCACCAGTGTCAACAACATCAGATGCAGCAACCACAAGTATGCCTGACACCACAACAACTATTGATGCAACAACAACTTTGGCATCCACAACCTCCCCTACAACATCCTCAACTATAGCACCAGTGTCAACAACATCAGATGCAGCAACCACAAGTATGCCTGACACCACAACAACTATTGATGCAACAACAACTTTGACTTCCACAACCACCCCTCCAACATTCTCAGCTACAGTACCAACATCAACGACTAATGAACCAACAACAACTATACCTGACTCGACTAAACTTACTGATGCAACAACAATTTTGGCTTCCACAACCACCCCTCAAACATTCTCAACATTAGCACCAGCATCAACAACTGATGCATCAACCACAACTCTGTCTGACAACACAACAACAACTGATGCAACAACAGCTTTGGCTTCCACAACCACCCGTCAAACATCCTCAACAATAGCACCAGCATTAATAACTGATGCATCAAACACAACTGTGCCTGACACCACAACTACTGACTCAACAACAACTTTGGCTTCCACAACCACCCCTCAAACATCCTCAAAAATATCACCAGCTACAATAACTGATGCTTCAACGACAACTGTGCCTGACACAATAACAACTACTGACTCAACAACAACTTTGGCTTTCACAACCACCCCTCCAACATCCTCAGCTACAGTACCAACATCAACGACTAATGAACGAACAACAACTATACCTGACTCGACAAAAATTACTGATGCAACAACAATTGTGGCTTCCACAACCACCCGTCAAACATCCTCAACAATAGCACCAGCATCAATAACTGATGCATCAACCACAACTGTGCCTGACACCACAACAACTACTGACTCAACAACAACTTTGGCTTTCACAATCACTGCTCCAACATCCTCAACTATAGCACCAGCATCAAAAACTGATGCAGCAACCACAACTCTGTCTGACAGCACAACAACTACTGATGCAACATCAACTTTGGCACCCACAACCTCCCCTACAACATCCTCAACTCTTGCACCAGTGTCAACAACATCACATGCAGCAACCACAAGTATGCCTGACACCACAACAACTATTGATGCAACAATAACTTTGGCATCCACAACCTCCCCTACAACATCCTCGATAGCACCAGTGTCAACAACATCAGATGCAGCAACCACAAGTATGCCTGACACCACAACAACTATTGGTGCAACAACAACTTTGGCTTCCACAACCACCCAACTAACATCTTCAACTATAGCACCAACATCGACAAAATCTGATGCAGCAACCACAGCTATACCAGAAACCACAACAAGTATTGAAGCAACAGCAACATTAGCCACCTCAACCACCCTTTCAACATCTTCAACTGTGGCACCAATGTCAACAACAACTGAGGCAGCAACCACAACTGTGCCTGACGCCACAACAAGTATTGATGCAACAACAGCATTAGCTATCACAACCACCCATTCAACATCCTCAATTATAGAATCAGTGTCAACAATTTATGCATCAACCACAACTCTGTCTGACAGCACAACAACTACTAATGCAACAACAACTTTGACTTCCTCAACCACCCCTCCAACATCCTCAGCTACAGTAGCAACATCGGCGACTAATGAACCAACAACAACTATGCCTGACACCACGACATCAATTGATGCAACAATGACTTTGACTTCCACAACCACCCCTCCAACATCCTCAGCTACAGTGCCAACATCGACGACTAATGAACCAACAGCAACTATGCCTGATACCACAGAAACTAGTGATGCAACAACAACTTTGGATTCCACAACCACCCCTCTAACATCAACAACTGATGCATCAACCACAACTGTGCCTGACACCACAACAACTACTGATGCAACAACAACTTTGGCTGCCACAACCACCTTTCCAACATCAACTGTGGCACCAACATCAACAACATCTGATGCAGCAACCACAAGTATTCCTGACACCACAACAACTATTGATGCAACAACATCTTTTGCTTCAACAACCATCCCTCCAACATCTTTGACCGTAGCACCAACGTCAACAACATCTGATGCACCAACCACAACTCTGCCTGACACCACAACAACTACCGATGCAACAACTTTGGCTTCCACAACCACCCAAATAACATCCTCAACTATAGCACCAACATCGACAACATCTGATGCAGCAACCACATCTATGCCAGACACCACAACAAGTATTGAAGCAACAGCAACATTAGCCACCTCAACCACCCTTTCAACATCTTCAACTGTGGCACCAATGTCAACAACAACTGATGCAACAACCACAACTCTGTCTGACAGCACAACAACTACTAATGCAACAACAACTTTGGCATCCACAACCTCCCCTACAACATCTTCAACTATAGCACCAGTTTCAACAAAATCAGATGCAGCAACCACAAGAATGCCTGACACCACAAAAACTATTGATGCAACAACAGCTTTGACTTCCACAACCACCCCTCCAACATTCTCAGCTACAGTACCATCATCGACGACTAATGAACCAACAATAACTATACCTGACTCTACAAAAACTACTGATGCAACAACAATTCTGGCTTCCTCAACCACCCCTCAAACATTCTCAACATTAGCACCAGCATCAATAACTGATACATCAACCAGAACTCTGTCTGACACCACAACAACTTCTGATGCAATAACATATTTGGCTTCGACAACCACCCCTCAAACATCCTCAACAATAGCACCAGCATCAACAACTGATGCATCAACCACAACTGTGCTTGACACCACAACAACTACAGACTCAACAACAACTTTGGCTTTCACAACCACTGCTCCAACATCCTCAACTATAGCTCCAGCGTCAACAACTGATGCAGCAACCACAACTCTGTCTGACAGCACAACAACTACTGATGCAACGACAACTTTGGCATCCACAACCTCCCCTACAACATCCTCAACTATAGCACCAGTGTCAAAAACATCAGATGCAGCAACCACAAGTATGCCTGACACAACAAAAACTATTGATGCAACAACAACTTTGACTTCCACAACCAACCCTCCAACATCCTCAACTACAGTACCAACATCGACGACTAATGAACCAACAACAGCTATACCTGACAGCACAACACCTACTGATGCAACAACAACTTTGGCATCCACAACCTCCCCTACAACATCCTCAACTATAGCACCAGTGTCAAGAACATTGGATGCAGCAACCACAAGTATGCCCGACACCAAAACAACTATTGATGCAACAACTTTGACTTCCACAATAACCCCTCCAAGATCCTCAGCTACAGTACCAACATCGACGACTAATGAACCAACCACAACTATGCCTGACACCACAGAAACTAGTGATGCAACAACTTTGGATTCCACAATCACCCCTCTAACATCAACAACTGATGCATCAACCACAACTATGCCTGACACCACAACAACTACTGATGCAACAACAACTTTGGATGCCACAACCACCTTTCCAACATCATCAACTGTGGCACCAACATCAACAACATCTGATGCAGCAACCACAAGTATTCCTGACACCACAAAAACTATTGATGCAACAACATCTTTGGCTTCCACAACCAACCCTCCAACATCTTTGACCGTAGCACCAACGTCAACAACATCTGATGCAGCAACCACAGCTATACGAGACACCACAACAATTACTGAAGTAACAGCAACATTAGACACCTCAACAACCCTTTCAACAACTTCAACTCTGGCACCAATGTCAACAACAACTGATGCAGCAACAACAACTCTCTCTGGTACCACAACAACTACTGATGCAACAACAACTTTGGCTTCCACACTCACTTCTACAACATCCTCAACAGTAGCACCAGTGTCAACAACTGAGGCAGCAACCACAACTGTGCCTGACACCACAACAAGTATTGATGTAACAACAGCATTAGCTATCACAACCAGCCTTTCAACACCCGCACTTATAGAATCAGTGT